CAATCAATCAACAAGTACATGAAAAAATGCTCACCATCTCTAGCAGTCAGAGAAATGCAAATCAAAACCACCCTAAGATACCATCTCACTCCAGTAAGATTGACAGCCATTATGAAGTCAAACAACAACAAGTGCTGGCGAGGATGTGGGGAAAAGGGTACACTTGTACATTGCTGGTGGGACTGCAAATTGGTGCGGCCAATTTGGAAAGCAGTATGGAGATTTCTTGGAAAGCTGGGAATGGAGCCACCATTTGACCCAGCTATTCCCCTTCTCGGTCTATTCCCTAAAGACCTAAAAAGAGCATGCTACAGGGACACTGCTACATCGATGTTCATAGCAGCACAATTCACAATAGCAAGACTGTGGAACCAACCTAGATGCCCTTCAATAGACGAATGGATAAAAAAAAAAATGTGGCATTTATACACAATGGAGTATTACTCTGCATTAAAAAATGACAAAATCATAGAATTTGCAGAGAAATGGATGGCATTAGAACAGATTATGCTAAGTGAAGCTAGCCAATCCCTAAAAAACAAATGCCAAATGTTTTCTTTGATATAGGGAGAGTAACTAAGAACAGAGTTGGGAGGAAGAGCATGAGAAGAAGATTAACATTAAACAGGGGTGAGAGGTGGGAGGGAAAAGGAAAGAGAAGGGAAATTGCATGGAAATGGAAGGAGACCCTCATGGTTATACAAAATTACATACAAGAGGAAGTGAGGGGAAAGGGGAAAAAAACAAGGGGGAGAAATGAATTACAGTAGATGGGGTAGAGAGAGAAGATGGGAGGGGAGGGGATGGGGGATAGTAGAGGATAGGAAAGGCAGCAGAATACAACAGACACTAGTATAGCAATATGTAAAACAGTGGATGTGTAACCGATGTGATGCTGCAATCTGTATACGGGGTAAAAATGGGAGTTCATAACCCACTTGAATCAAAGTGTGAAATATGATTTGTCAAGAACTATGTAATGTTTTGAACAACCAACAATAAAAATTAAAGAAAAAATGAAATAAAATAAAAAGTGGTTTGGGCATTCCATGATGTCAGGGATTGGTTTCCCAGCTTCCTCTTTTGTTTGGGGGAATTTTTTAGTTTTCAATTTTGTTTCATTTTGTTTTGGTCTTTACCATCCTTTGTCCGCATTCCTAAAGTCATTTCATCCCTGAGAACATTTCCAGAGTGTGGGTCTGCAATGAGGAAAAATAGAAGTGCTGGACCTACCACTTTCTGTCTTCATATACACTTTGCAGGAGTTAAAAAATCCACAGATCAGAATGAAGCCGTGTGACCATAACAAGTTGAAAGATTTCTTCTATTTGATTGAACAAAGAAAAGTAGCTTTTTTAGTTTTATTTTATTAGCTACACATGACATTACAATGATCTTGGCAATTCATACATTTAAGTCATTGGGGTATAATTTCTCATTTTTCCTAATTGTACAGATTGCAGAATCACACTGGTCATAGAGTCACCTATATACATACAGCAATCATAAAGTAGCTTTTTTTCATCCCAGATAATAATTCAGAAAGGAGTGGGGGATTCATTCTAGAGGAAGTATAAAACAGATTCTGGGAGACAACCAGTGGTCTCTGGCACATAACCCCATTTTTCCCAAGACTAATATCCATTTAGGTATATAGTATAGAGTTGGTAACCCATTTTGTCTGAATGAGAATCTGAAAATAATAGCTCAAAGACCGTGCATAGGGCCAGTAGCTCCTGCTCTGTTTCTAGCACATTTTTGGAGTCCAAGGATCTTCTCAGCAATTCTTTAATCTCCTCAAATCCTATCATAAAATTTATTCCAAACCTAAATGAGTAAGAATAAATTCCCATTATTCATAACCAACAACCCTGGCCAATAAAGTAGATCCTAAAATTCTTATATGACAGGTTAGGAATTTGAGGCTCAGAGAGGTAACATAATTTGCCACAGAGCTCATACTTCTTGATGATATACTTGGATGGAGTCTATATTGGCACAAAGTTGTAGAAAATAATCTGTTAATATGGATCAAACCTATTAAAATATTCAAGCCCTTTGGGGAAAAAAATAAGACCTGTGCATGGTTTTTGTTGATTTTTATGTTTGTTTTTTAGGACATATTATGCCCATATTGGAGTTCACATCTGTTTTAAATATTTTTTGTCTAAAATATGTACATATTAAATACACACGTACATCAAGATGAATAAATTTAAACACATAAAATAAATTTGCTCTTACACCGAAAATAATTTAAATTAGTTATGCGGGATATTTGGAGTTTATATGTTCAATTAGATGACTTAAGGTCTATCTACCCTTAAGTTTGCCAAAAAACCAGATAGTTGCATCCCAGCTCCAGGTCAAGTTGTGTTGTATAAAATTACTTTTCCTAATTCTTACTTCAGACTAATATAATCATGTTCCTTAAGGGACAGTATCACACAGTACTATGAATCTCATAAAATTTACTAAAACGACTCTCCTGAGAATGTTGTCCATGGTATCAAATAGTTTCTCCAGTACAAGAGCTGATGGGGAAAATCTCCATGCGGCCTCAGGACCTGGAAATTTCTCCTGAGCAACTCATTGTTGTTTCTTCTAGACTCTGCAAATATGTAAATGAGCCTGTCTTAATCATCTTATGGTCCTCTAATAATTGTGACCCACATACAACCAGTGAATAAGGTATCATAGGCCTCATTTTTTAAGTTTTCTCTGTATTTTATTGGCAGTATATTCCCCTGGAATCTATTCTGATATTATTACTGATACATTTTAATATTATGTGCATATTTTTGTAAGTAATTTTTAATAATTTTTGGAACTATAAATTATTATAAATTGAATAATGGATTTGTAAGCTGATTGATAATTGTAAGCTATTCAAGGGCTTAAGCCTTCACATTTTTAAGTTATAAGGATGCTAAAACTTTGTTTTAATCACTAGTGCCACCATTGAGAAATTATAAAAATTAATCTACTTTATGGTCTTTCATAATGTTTGTAAAAACCCTCACATTACCAACCAGAGAGCTTTGATGTTGCAGGTACTTTATTCTGTACTTAGAAATCTAAGTATTTTATATGACTTTATACATTTATTATTTTTCCCTGAGAAGTATCCTTGGCACAATCTGTTAGTACAGTTCAGTCTCTTTCCTACAGCGCATAATAATTTTACAACATTTTTGTGCATTCTGTTCTGTCTTTGGAATCTTAACTACTGATTGTTGGGTTACTAATTTTCCTGTATTAATTATTTTCCTCATGAGTATAATTCACTCTAATGCTCTTTTCACATTTTACTGGTTCTTTTTAGTTACACATGACGGTAAAATCCATTTTGATATAATTATATAAGCATAGAATATACCTTCTTTTATTTCAGATCCCTTTCTTTTGGATGTACATGATGCTGAGAGTCACTGTGACTATATATATATGACTTAAGGTCTATCTACCCTTAAGTTTGCCAGAAAACCAGATAGTTGCATCCCAGCAACTATACACACACACACACACACACACACACACAGGAAAATTATATCAGGTTCATTCCACTCTTTCCTTTTCCTATACCTCCTCCCAGTTGTGCTTCTTCTATTTAACTATTCAAACCATTTAATTTTTTTATCCCAATTTTTTTCCTTTCCCCAACATTTTAATATATTAATCTATCATCCTTCTCTATCTATGGTCTTCTAAAATGTGTTGCTTTTGTGTTAAACTTGAATTGTAACAAAAAAGGAGAAAACGATGCTTCGTGCATAATGCATTTCATTTAGTGTGCTCTTAAAGACCTTCCCACACCACTCTACGTCTAGCCCATGTCTGGCCTCAACAAAGGACCCCATAGTGTGCATCTGCCACATTTCACTAAAGTGGTAACATGTTTACCACAGGGTAAACATATCAGGTATGCTTCTAACACCTTTTTAGCATTAAATTGTTGTGAAAAACACCATTGCATATTCCCTCTTGGAACTGTGGAGACATTATGTTCAGAAGTGGGATTTCAAGCACAACGTGTACCTACTTAGATAAGACACTGCCACAAGCTCTACCTATCACTTCACCACATCAATGCAGGAGGAGTCCAACTATTGCTCATTCCTGCATACACTGGGTTTCTCTGGATTTCTGATTTTCCCATTGGGTAATGTAAAATAACACTTTCTTTCAATTTTCACTTCTCTAATTACTAGTGCATTTGAGTATCATTAATATATGTTCATCTTTAGGGGTTTTCATCTGGGAATGGGTTATTTACATACTTTGTTTATTTTGTAAATTTTTAATCTTGTGCAAAATTTTCTTTTCATCCCTCAAAACACTGACAGAATATATCGTGCCTTAATATAACTGAAGAAAAGAATAAGGAAACTTCAAAATCACTCACTTCCTCAGGAGCATAACCACCACGTTTGTTCCTGGTCAGTGGTTTGACAAAAATTCATGAAATGTCCCAGAGAGGGACCAATGCACATGCCACAGTTAAAACCAAAGTAGTATAAAAGTTGAAAAAGATAGGGACTTGTATTTTAAAAAAATAAAAGAGGTATGTTTTAAGGAATAGCCAACTTCAGGAAGAAAGTGGGAGGAAGAAGGAAATAAAAGGATGTTGCGACCAAAAGTAGAGATCATCTGAGTCCCCTGACGTCTGTGTGCATCTAGCAGGATGATTTCAGTCTCCAACAAGAGGACACCCAACTTGATGACCTCAAAAAACTCAAGGAAGCATACTGACCAATAGGACTGAGAAATTCAGGGTCATGTAGGCTTTGGTTACAGTGGAGCAGGACTCTTCTGTGAGTTCTTTACCTCTAACTTCTGGTCTGTATGATTTCATCCCTAGATTTGTTTCTCAATGCTGAAAAATGACTTGGGGAAATTCTACCCAGCATGAAATGTCTCAACTACAACTCAGGTGGCACAAAGGCAGAGAATTTCAAAAGAAAAAAAAAACTGCAAACCTTATATAAATTCAACACAGGTTTTTATTCCAGACAGTTCACCAGGGCTACAGATATTTCAAAAGCACGTGCTTTGCTCTCTATGTTCTAAAAACTAAAGGAAGAAACAAAGCTACACAACTGCCCACAGAAGTAGGCAGTAAGGGCTACAGTGACATGTGGGGACACACAGGTGGAGGAGAGAGGGCTCCCCACTGTGGATCCAGAAAGGACCCCCGGAGGAAGTGACACCTGAAATTCATCTGATGATCCATTATATCTAACCAGGTGGAGCTTGCTAGGATATTATTTCATTCAGAGGTAAATTCACAGAAGCCAGGTCAGAACAACAAACCCTTGTTTACATTGAGCACATATTGGTAACTGATCATGAACCAGGTAAATTACCAAGGTTTCACAAGGACAGTTGAAGAGATGTCATCACCATGTGGTGTCCAGGTGTAGACTGGGCACCTGGGTAGCTGGGTCCTCACTTCAAAGGGACAGCACTGCAGGGAGCTTCACAGTGTGTCCTAAGTGAACCAAATGAGAACAGAGAAATAACAGACCTTCATAAGGTGGAGGTGAGAACTGAGCAGAAAATGGAAATGGGGCTGAGAGGAGAAGGAAAGTGAGGAAAAAGTCAAAACAGAAGGGAAGAGCATTGGGGAGGAGGGACAAACAGGACAGATGGATACAAAGAACTCACCAGCGTTTCCTAAACCAAAATCCAAGACCTGTCAGAAGAGCCAGGGCCACTATCACTGCCAAGAGGATCCAGCCCAGGGCACTATGAGGTGCTGCAGATTCAAGTGGACACCAGGATGTTGTTTCCAATCCATTCCCCGTTTTACTCCACACACTCCCTGTTTGCTGTATTAACTATTTTCCTTGAGTTTCTACTGCACCAATCATTCCTCCTATTTTATTCTTATCCCTTTTCAGAGGGGAATCCTTCTTCTATCCTACATATTTCTGCATCTACAGATCCCTCATGTTTAATTCTTCCATTCCTTGGATTAAAATATTTGTCTTCTTTTGATCTAAAATCCCTAATCTCCCAAATTTTTGCTGGCCCTCAAGCTCTGCTATAGCAGACTGCCTCCCCCCATCTCCAGCCTGGGTCCCACTCTTACCACCCCAGTGGAGGACGAGGTCCTGCCCTCCTAGGCTCCTGTGCTTCACCCTGCAGGCCAGGCCAGCCGCCTCCCCAGCTGCCACATCCAGGATTGCTCTGAGATACCACGTCCCATCAGCATTGGGCAGGAAGTCACCTCTCTGAGTGCCCTGCTGCTCCTCCTCACCTCGCATCCACATCACCCACACGGGCTTTGGGTAGAAGCCAGATACATGACACACCAGCAGCAGACGGCCAGGCCCAGGACTGGGGCCACTGGACAGCCAGGCCTCAGGCTTCACTGCAAAGGACAGAAAACACATCCAGACACAGACTCTAACATACACTGAGAGGTTCAGAACTCCACATGAGACTACATGGATATATACTTCCCCCTTCTGGAAATGTCACTCGATATCCTCTTTTTATCCTGAATTTGACTTTAAAATAGAAAAATTCTTTGAGATGGGCTACAAGACTGACCTTGTTGCTGGAGATGAGCCTTCCCTGCATCTAGAAGACCCAAGGTGAAACGTGGGCAGGTGTCACTGAGGAGCCTGTGTAACCTCTGTGTGTAGTCTTGGTTCTGACTGAGCAGTTTGCAGACTTTCTGGGCCTTTCTTCCACCCTCTGGAGACGGTGACCATGTTTTATTCTGGAAGCTCATGAAGTCATGTCCTTGGGTAGCTACATGCTTCAAGCCTAGGAAGCCCTTCCCAGAGTGCAGTTCACAGCCTGTTGCAATCTGTAGATCAAAGGGATCTGGGGAAGAAGAGTCATGAATTAGAGGAGAAAAGGGAGAAAATGGAATGAGATGAAAGCAAAAGACTATAAAAGCAGAAGGGAGTTTGGGGAGTTTAGGGGATGGACCACAGTGTGGTTTGGTCTGAGGTTCACAGAAAGGGGAACTGGTAGGAGCTGGAGGTGGAGGAAGAGACGATAATATGAGGAAGGGAGGGGACTGTTCAAAGGTGATAGTGATGGTGGGGGGTGAAGGAATTAATGTGAGAGAGCTGAGACTCTAACTAACCAGGGTGAACGTATCCATGGTAACCATAGCAGTTCAGATGGGGATGACTGAAGAATGAAATGGGAGAGAAAGTCACACTTTAAGGAGTCAACCAAAGAGTGAGGATGCTAAAGGTACCTGGCTGATTTCTGGGGAAAAGAGTGGCCACGGGATGCCTCTGAGGGGAGATAATAACGCACAGCCCCGCAGGCAATGAGGGAGCAGTTCATAAGTGGCAAAAACTGAAGTTTTTGAAGAATTGGGTTCTGGTGTATAGCACTTTCCCAGGGTGTGGTTGCACTTTTATGCTGAAGAGTGTGGAGTAAGATTCCGAACAGCGTAGGCTGTTTACTACAGGAATAAGAAGTTCACTGAGGGCTGAGGATATAGCTCAGTTTATAGAGAGCTTGCCTCACATGCACAAGGTCAATCCCCAGCACCACAGATCAAAAAGCTCACTGAGAAACCTTAGCTTTCTTCTCCCCAGCAATGGAACTAAACTCACCTTCAGACATGAAGTAATCAGTGTAAAATTCCTGAATTCCAATGGAGTTTACCCGGAGAAACCTTTCCAGATCCTCCAACTCCCTGTTACTGAAGTTGCCCCTGGACCAGGGATACAGGTAAATGATGGCATCAGAGCTGCTGTTCCATCTGTGAATCTGCAGCTCCCCCAACCAGCCTGAGCTCAGATGTACCCAGGAGTGGTTGTGAAAGGATGACGTCTGGAGGAGATGGTAGGAGACAGGCTCCTCAAACCCTGTGATGAAGAATAGATAGAATGTGGGGAAATGTGACATTGGGAGGGAGAGACTAGGAAAAGAAAGTTGTCAGAGTGGGAAGACTCAGAGTCTGGAAATGTGGAGAGCCACCTTTACTTTAGCTGACATCTGTTGGCCCCCAGGGTCCCATGCTCTACCAACATCCTCCATGAGAGCACAGAGGGCTTGAGTAAGAACACGCAGAATGGGGCCAGCTTGGCACTCGTTCTCTCCAGGTATGTGCAGGGGAAACTACCATCAACACACACACACACACACACACACACACACACACTTGCCCCTAACAGGTCTCTTGCCACAATTCTTACCATATTCACTGTCACCTACTGGGAAGAGAGCAGCTAGCAAGGGGAGTAGCAGAGACAACATGGCACTTGCAGATGCTACTTCTTTCTCTTAAGAAAAGTTGTCCTTGGATTTCTGTTCTAAACAAACCTACCCCACAGACCTCTCTTCTGACTTCCGTATTCAACCAACAGACAGACCTCTCCTGCCTGAAAATCTGCTTCCACCCCAAACCCTGACCACCTACTCAGTTTCCCATTTCCCCTGCTCTTCTGAGTCTCTGCCCAGTCTTCCAACTTCTCTCACTGTCTCATATTTCCATCCTGGTCATCTTCCCCTATTTCAACTGCTATGCAACATGTTTTATGTGGCACTGAAAGTCACCATACCCCTAGGAACTCTTCTTTCAGTGTTGGGTATTGATCCCATGATTGTAAGCATTTTGAGTTATTTGAATAATTTTGAATTCTTCCCCCATGTGTCCTCTTCCCTACCCCATCCCCCATGCCACCATCTTCATGTCGCTGACATCACTGGTTATTTTATTTACTTCTTCAGAATCACTTTGGATTGTCCTCTACACCACTATCAACTAATTAGTCTGTGGATCCTGTATCCAGGGTGCACTCTGGGAGACATGCAGCCAGTCCAGTGATACACTTACTGCTCCATGATCACCACCTTGAATTTTATAGTAATTTTATTGACTTTGTGTTTCATAAGCAAAGTTCAGTGAAACTTCTATGGGAGCTCACAGAGCCTCCCCAGCTTCTGTAGGGTTCTCCCTCCCACAACCTCACCACAGGTGCAGTACCCTTCCACCTGCTCCTCACTGTCTGGGGCCCTGGTAACTCTACACTCTTCCTATCCACCTCCATCCTGCCACCACTGCACTGACCATGTCTCTCTGAAGGCCCCATCTGCCATCAGCCTCGGTCACTGCCCCATGACTTGCAGGCACAAAGGGAGAATGGCACATGCACCCAACAGTGTGTGGGCAGAACACAGGGGCAGTGATACCATCTAAAGTCTGCCCCAAGTCATTTTGTAACTTGTCCACACTTATTCCAAGGACCAAATGCATCTCCATGTAATTTAATGTAGTTTCAGTGCTCAACCTGGTGCCAAGTGTGGGGAAGGCCACTTGAAATTCCCACTTCAGTTCAGCCAGGGTAAGGATCATTTGAGCAACTGGGGTAGCAGGAACCAGGCAGGGAAGCTTGCTTGAAGTCATGAACTGCAGAGCCCAGGTGTCTAAGTGCTCCTGCAATCATCCCGTAAGTATCCCTGTGCCCAAGGGACATAACATTAGCAAGTCAAATAAAAACACAGAGACATAACCTTTCCTTGAAATAAGAAGTTTTGAATTTTAGTACCTTTAAAAGCACTCCCTCCCCTCCCTTTTGAGCACACACCTCCTATGTTCTGAATCTTTATGTCTTCCCCAAATTCACATACTGGAGTCCTAACCACCCATGTGATGGTATTAGGAGGTGGGGCCTTAGGGAGGTGATTAGGTCATGCTGTCTCCATCTCAGAAATGAGACTTGTGCCTTATAAAGGGAACCTCAGAGAGACCAAATAAACCTTCCGTGATGTGAAAATATTTTGAAGGTGTCTTTGATGAACCAAAATGCAGGTCTCAATACAAACTAAATCTATCTTGACCTTGGACTTTTCAGACTCCAGAAATGTGAAAAATAATTTTTATTGGTTATAATCCACCCATTCTATGGCATTCTGTGATATTAACCTGAATGACTAAGAGAAGGTTCTACATTTTCATTTTTCCCTGGATCCCACAAGATATATGACTGCTGCTCTTGAGTGTGGGATGGCAAAATCAAGGAGAAGATAGTTACAGTTGGACAGGAAAGAGAGCAAAGAAAATTAACTAAATAAGGAATGAGGTTCTGGGACCAAAAAGTTGTGAGCTGATAAGAGAAAAGAAGGATATAACAGATGCAGGAGAAGGAGGAAGAGGGGTGTTTTAGTGAGCGTTTTTGCCTCTGAGACCAAAGGACATGACAAGAAAAATTTGAAGAAGGAAAAGTATATTTTGCGTCTCACAGTTTCCAAGCTCTTAGTCCATAGATGGTCAACTTCACTCCTCAGGGCCCAAGGTGAGGCAGGACATCATGGCAGAAGAGTGTGGCAGAGGAAAGCAGGTCTGGACATGGCCACCAAGAAGGGGAGAGAGAGAGAGAGAGAGCGCTCCACTCATCAAGAACAAAATATATTCTCCAAAGTCACATCCCCAGGAACCCACCTCCCCAGCCACACCTACCAACCCACAGTTACACTCAGTTAATCTTTATCAGGGGATTAACTTACTAATTGGGTTAAGGCTCTCAAGACCCAGTCATTTCACCTCCAAATCTTCTTGCACTGTCTCACACATAAGCATTTGGGGAACACCTCATATCTAAACCATAACAAGGGAAGCATAAAGGGATTGGAAAAAGAATTCAAAATTTGTTCCCCTCTACTTTCCCCTGGCAGAGGGCTCCTGGTGAGGATGCAGGTAGCAGCTGGTGCTTGGGTCAGAGTCCCACTGAGGATCTGCAGCTCCCCAGTCCACTGCACCCCCGAATGAGCTCTCAGCTGTGGAGGGTGAAAGACAAGGTCTGAGGAGGAGAAAGGAAAGGATGGAGACCATTGGGAGCTGCCTGGGGGAGGCTGAGATCTGGGGGAGCTGAGAGAGAGCAAGAGTATAGAGAAAAAAATAAGAGATAAAATAGGTGGGAAGTGACCAGGACCAGAAAAAGAAAAAATCTTTGAGAGAGGAAATGGTTATACAGATCACTGATGGTTGTGTGCTCCCTGGTCACAGGAAAACATGATGAAAATCCAGATGAGTAAGATCTATGCCAAATAGAACTCAGCCAGGCAGGGTGTTTCTGCTATTTTAGGGGCATCCATGATGTTAAACCCCAATGCAAAGAAAAGACCACTGACTCTAATTTTAAATCATATTAAAGCAAGCTTACATTGGTGTACACCAGAGCTGGCCAGGACTGTCTTTCCCGAAAACCCTGGGCTAGAGACCAGTACCCCAGCTCTCTAGGAACACAATTTTATAGCACAAAAAGTTGCAAAATGGGGGTATCTTGAAAACTTACAGATAACAGGATTTTGACAAGCATAATACAAAGGCAGATAGTAGGTTAAAGATCTACATGGCATGATATTTCAAGGTAGGAAGCAAATTCAAATGCAAACATCAGAACTTATGAGGTTTCAGAGAGGGTTGTTACCAGGTCAGGGAAAATCAGGCATGGGTGGGTTCAAGGCATGGGCAGGCATTCCAAACAAGTTTAGAAATCACAGTCATTTATAGTAAAACACAAATTAACTTTTCATGACTTTGTGATGAAATGGCTCCCAAACTCAAGATGGAATTAGGCTGGGTTCATCACAGGAGTCTTCTCTTTGTAACAAGACCTTCCTTCAGGATTCTTCTTCTTGATTCATCTTTGCTTAGGCTACCAGCATGCTGTGTTCTTCCTAACACTTCTAATTGTTGCTCCCTGCACACACCACAACTCCTGAACTTCTCCTTCCCCACACAGCTTCCCCGGGAACCAGGACATAAGCTCCCCCCTCCACAGGATCTCACGGTGCCATCTGACTTCCCACCTCACCAACACAGACCTCAATTTCTCTCCCCGAGAAACCCACTGCCTGTCCTAACTTCCTGCCAGCACTGTGCTTCTCCTTCCCCTCCATACTTCCTCAAGTTTTTCTCTTGTCTTTCTGTCTTTCTTACGTATAACCGGTGTGTTTTTTCCTCTCATAGCAAATTTCTTGCAGTAAATGGAGCTTCAGACTGAGACCCATGATGATTTCACGTACAGAACACCTGCACCAAATTGCAATGTCCTGAGCCTGGCCTCAGTGTCCCTGAATGTAAAATGACAGGAAGGAACTGAATGTTAGCTGCTATCCTGTGGCTGTGACGTTCTTTGTGACTTGCTGCTCTCCCATGTCTACCCACCCATGTGTCCTCTCTTCCCTATTCTGCTTCTCTCTCCTCTTTCCCTCCCCAGGTTTTCACCATCATTCTTCACTTAGCTCTTATCTCAGCCCCAGGACCTCATCTCTGTTCTGTTTCTCCCTTCTATCCATTCAGTTTAACCTCCATCCTTCCTCCTTGACTCCCTTGACAATCCCAGTAAAACAATTTATCACATGGCCCTTGGAATCCTCTGTGTTAATGTAAAACACAAAGTTATGCAGTTGTTTCTGTCGAGATGGCTCATACAATAGGTTAAAAAGACCTGCCAGTAGAAAACACCAGGAAATGTGAGATTACATTTTAAACTAGTTTAAATGCAGAGCAGCATTTAGAATAAAATAAGTGAAGTCCTTTTGGGTAAAAAAGCAAAGACATGTAAAACTGGTATCTGGCACCAGTGTACACCAGATATTGTTACGCCCAAGTTCCCTACTGGTTGGGCTGCTGTGGTCTCCTGGATCTGAAATTCAGGACTTAGGTCTGGGCAAACAAGGTCAGAATTGTAATGCAGGCTTCTTCCATACCTTCAATTCTGAGACAGAAGAAGCTAGGAAAAAATCGAACCCAATTATATACGAAAGGAAGCTGGTATATCTGTTTGCTAAATGATGGTTGGTTGTTTTCCTCATTCTGAAAATTACAAATCACTGTTCTGAATTCAGAGTTAAAAAATATCTACTTACATAATCCTGGAATAAAATTCATAATAAGAAAAATTTATTGCAATTTTTTATTGATTTTTTTAAGAATAAATGATAGCAAAATGCATTATAATTCTTATTTTATATACATATACAGCACAATTTTTCATATCTCTAACTGTATATAAAGTATGTTGACACCAATTCGTGTCTTCATACATGTACTTTGGATAATGATGTCCATCACATTTCACCATCCTTGCTAATCCCCTGCTCCATCCCTTTGCCTCCCACCCCTCAGGCTTATCTTGAGTTCATCTATTCCTCCCATGCTCCCCCTCCCTACCCAACTATGAACCCCATTCCTTACATCAGAGAAAACATTTGGCATTTGTTTCTTGGGGATTGGCTAGCTTCACTTAGCATTATCCTCTCCAACTCCATCCATTTACCTGCAAATGCCATGATTTTATTCCCTTTTATTGCTGAGTAAAATTCCATTGGGTATATATGCCACATATTTTTAGTCCACTCATCTACGAAGGGCATCTAGGTTGGTTCCACAGTTTAGCTATTGCAAATTGTGCTGCTATAAACATTGATGTGGCTGTGTCCCTGTAATATGCTGATTTTAAATCCTTTGGGTATAGACTAAAGAGAGTGGTAGCTTGGTCAAATGATGGTTACATTCCCAAATTTTCAAGGAATCTGCATACTGCTTTCCATATTGGCTGCACCAATTTGCAGCAAAGTATGAGTGTACCCTTTTCCCCACATCCTCGCCAACACTTATTGTTATTTGTCTTCATATAGCTGCCATTCTGACTAGAGTGAGATGATATCTTAGAGTAGCTTTGATTTGCATTTCTCTAATTGCTAGCGATGATGAACATTTTTTCATATATTTGTTGATTGATTGTATATCCTCTTCTGAGAAGTGTCTGTTCAGGTCATTGGCCCATTTATTGATTGGATTATTATTTTTTTTTTTTGGTGTTTAGCTTTCTGAGTTCTTTTTTTTTTTTAAATATTTATTTATTTATTTTAGTTTTCAGCGGACACAACACCTTTGTTTGTATGTGGTGCTGAGGATCGAACCCGGGCTGCACGCATGCCAGGCGAGCACGCTACCGCTTGAGCCACATCCCCAGCCCCATTTCTTTCTGAGTTCTTTATATATCCTAGAGATTAGTGTCTGATGTGTGAATAGAAAGACTACATCCTGGGAGCAAATTTTTTATTGTAAATTTTTAATACCTCTATGAAAGCAGGTAAAATTTAAAGCAAAATTGATTAGGAGAACCCCCTCCAACAAGCTGTGAAAATGACCCACACAAAGACTTCCTTAATTAGCCACAGTTCAAATGTAGAGGGTAGAGATTAAAATAATACACCATGAATGGAAGTTGACAGAGGAAATTTAGTTGACCCAAAAAACACACACATAGGAAATTACATGCTTAAAGTTAGAATTATATGGTAAAAGAAAAATAAATCATACAAAAAAGGGACATGATTTAAAAAAAAATACCAGACACATTTGTAAAGCAAATTTAACCTTAAAACTACTGTTATTGCTATAATTGTATACAAACTCAAAAAGTAGACTAAACAAAAGAGAAATAATTTTGAAATATTTCTGAATCAGAAGGTCTGAAAACTTCCTTCTAATGCAATATACAGATGAAAGCTTTGGGGAAAAATGGGGGGCATTGAAAGATATAAAGCATAGCTAGATGAGGTGGGTCCCACCATTTGTTCCAGTGAATCAGGAGACTGAGGTAGCAGGTTTGCAGCTTTGAGGTCAGCCTGGGCAACTTAGTGAGACCTTGTCTCAAAGAAATAAAATAAAAATGCAGCTACATGGTAGAGTGGGCCTGGAATTAAATTCCAGCATCAACTAAACAACAACAAAAGGGACAAACATTAGTTTGAATCCCAATATAGTCCTATGAGAATGTTATAAGGAGACAAAAACATAATGGAAAATGATATACTTAAAGAAATTGTGCCTGAGAATTTTCCAGAATTAATGAAACATGTGACTCTCAGTATTGGTAAAAGGCAAAATCTCCAAAGTAGAGTTAATGAGTCTGAAAAATAATTTTTATTTTCAAAGAGAATTTTCAAGAGATCCAGGAAACTCAGAACATAAAACAAATGTAAAACAAACTTTTTTATATAGTTGTTATTCCTGGAATAGGCATTCCATCTGTGTCTACAATATAGCAAGGATTGAATTCAACACTAGGATTAAAAAGGATATAAAGATAAAAGCTGAAACTCTAGAGAAAAGCACATATTAACCAACCATGAAAACAGCACATCAAAGAAAGTACAGAGAAAAGAATGAGCTTCATTAAATATGTTTTATTTTCATTAGCACTGCTCACATGGACTTAGTCTTGGAACCAGAATTTGGGCTGAAATAATCAGATATGACCAAGGCAGTGAGAACACATAACCATGAGACTATCTCGAGTGATTTTTAATTCAGAAATATATGAAGAAGTCAGAAAGGATTGACTTTGAACCTATACACTAACCGCCACCTATGGTACCTTCAGAGTTCAGGAAACAACTTCTCTAACTCCTCAGTAGAAAGCTGAGAAATCCAGGGTGGTGTCCTGTGTTAGCCGGTTTCCATCAGTGAAATACCTGCAATAATTAAGTTTCTGAGAATAAAAGGGGTTTTGGGCTCACAGTCTTAGAGGCTCCAGTCCACAATTAGATGATCCCATAACTTTGGGACAACAGTGAGACTGCACGTTATATTGGGAGAACATGACAGAGCAAAACTGCTGGCATCATAATCCAGGGAGCAAAAAGGAGATAGACAAAATAGAGGAAGAGACAGAGGTCCTACAAATCCCAACAAGGTTAAGCTTTCAATGACCTAAGGACTTGTCTCCTAAAGGTTACACCACCTCCCATTAACCCCACTCTGGCAACCAAACATTTAACACATGAACCTATGGGGACATTCAACATCCAAATATAGTGTGGCTCCCATGACCTGATCCCCTTCCCCTATGCTTCATTCCTTAAAGATCTGCTACCTCTCGATACCTTTACATTGGGAACCAAGATTCCAGAACATGAACCTCTGGGGAACAAACCACACCAAACCACAATACTGCAATGTTCTATTTCTTGACTGGATTCCAAGGAACCAATATCCTTTGCTGTATTACAGTTGAATGTATAATTTTTCTTTTAATTTTATATATTTGAGCTAAGCCTTATCTATTTTGACATTTCACAATAAAATAATTTAAAAATAGCATCACCCCCACCACTGGAAAAAAATAAAAAGAAAGAACAGTGTTAATTTGGGTCTGTCTTGTGCTCCATTTTCTGGAAACCTATTTTCTGTTCTTTTCTCAGATAGGTCTCTCCTGGTCATGCTTTCCTTCATATTCCTGGTCTTTAAAATGACATGCAGAGACTCCTTAGCAATTCATGTGCACTTGTCCAAGCTTCTGTATATATAGTGATATTGCTGAGAAGGTTTTGCTTGCCTCCAAATGTACTCTAGAAAATGACTGGCACTTGATTAAACTTGTTTTTTGTGTATTTTTTTGTGCCTGGAATTGTTTCATGCATGGTATTCAAGATACTGTTTTCCAAATAATAAAAAACATGAATGCCAGGAATATTCCTTTGTATTCTACACCTTTAGCCTCTAAAAGTATTTTTCAATGACGTCACAAGCAAAGCCACACAGGGTTCTAATAAAAATCAAAAAACAAAACACTCAATATTATAGGCATGTCAGTCTTAGGATCTCACTTCCTTAACAAAATTCCTGTGGCACAAGAAGTAAAATCAAGAATCAATAAATGGGACAGATTTGACCTAAAAAGCTTCTCAACAAAGGAAACAAACAGTAATATGAAGAAAGCGCCTACAGAATGGGAGAAAATCTTTACCACTTACACCTCAGATAGAGCATTAATCTCCAAGATATATAAAGAACTCAAAAAAAAAAAATAAAACCATAAAAATTAATCAAAAATGGGCTAATGAAGTGAACAGAGCATTCCAAGAAGAAGAAATGCAATCAATCAAAAAATACATGAAAAAATGTTCAATATCTCTAGCAATTAGAGAAATGCAAATCAAAACTACTCTTAAGATTTCATCTCACTCCAGTTAGATCAGCAGTTATCAAGAATACAAAAAACAATAAGCGTTGGTGAGGATGTGAGGGAAAAGTACACTCATACTTTGCTGGTGGGACTGCAATTTGGTGCAACCCTTATGGAAAGCAGTATGGAGATTCCTCAGAAAACTTGGAATGGAACCACCATATGACCCAGCTATCCTACTCCTCGGTTTATACCCAAAGGATTTAAAATCAGCATATTACAATGATGCAGCCACAACAATATTTATAGCAGCTCAATTCACAATAGCTAAACTATGTAACCAACCTAGGTGTCCTTCAATAGATAAATGAATTTTTAAAATGTAATATATATATATATATATAATATAATATTATTCGGCCTTGAAGAAGAATAAAATAATGGCATTTGGACAGAGCTTGAGAATATCATGCTAAGCAAAATAAGCCAATCCCCTCAAAAAACAAAAGCTGAATGTTTTTTCTGATATGCAGTTGCTAATTCAATGGAAGGGGGAGCTAGGGAAGAATAGAGTTTCCTTGGATTGGGTAGAGGAGAGTGAAGGATGGGGAGTGGGCAGGAGGAAGGAAGAACAGTAGAACGAATCAGACATTATTACCCTATGGTTTACCCTATATATAACTACACCACCTGTGTGATTCTACATCATGTACAATCAGAAGAAGGAGGAATTATGCTCCATTATATATGATATAGCAAACTGCACTTTACTGTCATGCATAACTAATTAAAACAAATTTTTAAAAATTTCTTTTGAAAATAGTAGTGGATCATGCTTAGTTTTCTTCCACAATGTAGATCCTAAAGCAAAAAACAAGAGAAAATCACAGTAATCTATATTGATATTGGGAGCTTTAAAGATAGAACTTTATTTGGGGACATGACGCTAGGTCCCAGGAGTGGGACACTAAGAAAGGTACAACAGGAAAGGATGTAAAGCCACAACAGTGAAGTTATCAGCCTTGTCACAGTTATGAAAAACTAGGGTCTGACCTACCTGGGAGCTCCTCATCCTGCATACTGATTGCGACCCTGAATTACCTCCCTGAGAGTTGAGAGAGCACATATTCATAACCTCTCATCCATTAATAGTCAAGGATTGCCCTGTGAGGTATTACCTCCCTGACACTTGCAGTTTTGAGCATTCACAAATGCTATGTGGCTTCTCTCAGGTGTCCCAGTCACATTGCAAGAAAAAATCCTGGGGCAAAGATGCAGAGGATATACAGTGCAGGGCAAGTTAGCTTCTATCTCAATTGCTTCAGTAGGGATGGTACAGAGGCATCTGCTACTATCATGTTATATTGACAATATTATATATATATATATATATATATATATATATATATATATATATATATATATTGACATATATATATGTGTGTGTGTGTGTGTGTGTGTAATACATACAAAAATTAAAATTAAAAACAAAAGATAAGAAAATCAATCATTTTTTTCCCAAAGCCTCAAAACATTCCACTGCCTTGAACTGTTTAGCTCTCTGCGCCACCTAGTGGTGAAATATAAACATCCACAAGTGTCAGTAAGTGTTTAAATAGAAAACTTGCTGTCTCCCTCTGTTCCAAATTGAAATTCTGGTGCCTGCTGTAGAATGCTCACCTGCAGTGACAGCTGTTTGTCTGTTAGGACCATTTTCTTAAGCCACTACTCTAAGATGAACAGGGAAACTCAATTTGGTACTTTTAAATAAATTATATTGGTGTGGGGAGCTTCGAAGGTGAGACAGTGCTATAAATGGAGGATTTTATCTGCCTCCGGGCTACTTCCCACATATTTTGTTCTACGGTTATGGTCAGCCTTATATAAGATTTGCAAACTGCATTTGTAATCTAAACAAGCCAAATTTCTCCAGTCTTCTGGAGATCACTGTGTTCTTAAATCTCCAGACTAAAGTATTCCTGACAAAATATACCAAACTAATTTCAATAAGCAAGCTAATTCCATTATTTTAAAACCATGATTAAAAATAATTGCCATCTTTTCAAATTTTATGTATTCCTTATTAAAAGTATATTTATTGTCATAAAATATTTTACATAAAATAATTTAATATTTTATATAAATTATTTTTATAAAAATTACATAGTAAAAAGACTGATGCATCAAATATTGAATAAAGGTTTTGTATGTTTTCTTTTGTAGCCTTTATTTCTATGAAATGTAATTATAGTAGATTCAACTGTTCCTACATGTCATTATATCTACCATAAAGTGTATTCTGTGTTGGGATTTTCTGGTATTGCTATTTATTTAAAATTTTTGATGAAGCAAAATGGTTTGTTTAACTCCTTGTTGCACTTCTGATAAGATACTCTCTAATTGCCCTTTGTCCTGAATTGGATTATGATTTTGCTAATTTGGTTCTCCAACAGACTTTACAAACTGTGATCAATCCAGACTGAGAAAGGCCACAGAACACAATTAAATATTCTCTGTTTTATACACTACTGAGTCACTGATAAATATGTGTAGACTTATTTCTTCTCAGGCTTAATGGTTTTAATTCCTTCCTTTTATCTTATTAACTTTTAATAATATCAAAATATTTAGCACAATGCTAAATAGAAATGACAAAAACAGATATTCTTGCTTTGTTCCCAATCTTGGAAGCATAAAATGTCAACATTCATATCAGATTAGGTGTAGCTTTTTGCTGTCCTTTATCAAACTGAGGACATTTCCCTGAATTCCTAATTCACTGAGAGTTCTTCTCATAAACAGATGTTGAATGTTTCAAATCTTTTACTTGTGTCTGTTGAGATGGACATATGTTTTTTCTCCTAAGGGCTGTTAATGTGATTAATTACACTTTTTGATTCTTAGATATTAAGTCAATGTTCCTTTCCTAGGATAAACATCATATGCCAATGATAAAATATCATTTTTACATTACTGGGTTTCATTATGTGTTGTTAAGAATTTCTGTATCTAACTTTGTGGGGAATATTGTCTGTATTTTTTTTTGTTATACTTTCATTTTAAGGTATCAGTGTTAGGAATATCCTGACCTCATAAAGCAAATTGGGGACTGCTGCAATCTCTGTTTTTTTTTTTCTTTCAAAAATTTTGTGTAAAATTGTATTTTCTTTTCTCCTTTAAAGGTTTGATAGAATTCACTTAGCTTTCTGAGCCAGGATACTTCTTTAGTAGGAGGGTTTTTTTAAAAAATATGTAGTAGAACTATTATTTTACTTTATTTTATTTACTACGTGTTCAATATATATTGTTTTAATATCGAATTGCCCAGGAGCTATTCAGATGTTCACTTACTTCTTGTCTCAGTTTCAGTAAATTTGTGTTCTTTAAGTATTTTTTTCAAGTAATTTATATTTTCAAATATATTACCATGAAGATTTTCATTGTATTCCCATCTTATCCTTTTAATAATAGAGTCTGCAGTAATGTCTTTAATTATTAATACTGGTTATGTGGTGATTATTATTATTTTTTTTTGGTACTGGGATTTCAACCCAGGGTTGCTTTACCACTGAGCTACATTCCCAGTCCTAATTATCTATTGAGAGAGCTTCTCACTAAGTTGCCGAGGCTGGCCTGGAACTTGTAATCCTCCTGCCTTGGCCTCCCCAGTAACTTTGAGTAAAGGTGTGTACCACTGGGCCCAGCTTCTTAATCATTCTTGCTTAGGAGATGTCAATTTTATTATCCTTTTTAAGGTGCTGCTTAATTTTCAAATATTCTAACTATTTTATAGATGTCTTATTGTTATTGATTCCAAATCCATTTGCATTGTGATCAGAGAACATACTCAGTGATCTCAATCGTTCCATATTCATGGAAACTTCTTTTGCAGCCCAACATGTGACCTACAACAAAGAATACTCAGTATGTGTTGGAAGAAAACATCTATTCAGAATTTGGTCAGGTATGATGTCTAATAGGTATGTATTTGGTCATGTTGATTGATATGATTGTCCAAGTCTTCTCTATCCTCACTAATTTTGTTTACTTAGTGTGAATATGCTTTAAAAAAAATCTCCCAACTAGGATTTTGATGTAATTATTTCTCCTTTTGTTTCTATCAATTTTTTCATTATGAATTTTAAAATTTTGTTATTAAGTTCATTAACATTTACAATTTTGAATCTTCTATATGAAATGTTTTATCATTACAAAAATTCTACACATTTAATATTGCCAATTCTTTCCAGTCTTGTATACCTGACTTCATAACTTGTATTCTCTTTACATTTCTAGGTTTCTTTCTGTAGTCTGGATTAAACCCAGGGCTTCACACATGCTAGACAAGCATGCAAACACTGAAGTGTACTTCCAAAACATTTATATATTTATTGATTTACTTACTTACTTACTTTGGGGTAGGGTTGTAGTAAGTTGTTCACGCTGGCCTTAAGGCCTTAAACAGATCATCCTGCCTCAGCCTCCCAAGTAGCTAGGTTATGGGCATCCCTTAGCATTTTTCAATAGGTCTACTGGCAACAAATCCCCTCAGCTTCCAGTCATCATAAAATGTCTTTATTACTCTTTATTTTTAAAGATATTTTGATGGATGTATAATTCTAATAGGTGGGATGCTTTTTGTTGGTTAGGTCTGAGCATTTCAAAGGCCTCCTCTGCTCCATTACATGCTAGTTTACATTTCTGAAGAAAAGCCGACTGCAGTCCCTCTCAATGTTCCCGTGTGTGTGCTCTGTCATGGCTATTTCTCAGGTTTTTCCTTATCTTTGTTTTTCAACAGTTTGACTTTGACACTCTGTGACATATTTTTATTTGTATTTATTCTCCTTGGGATTCACTAGGATCCGAAGGCATTTGGGGTGTCTGGGGGAGTTGTTTGCTTGTTAATTGTTTTGTGTGTGATGCTATCAGAATCTAGGGCCTCCTGCATGCTAGGCAAGGGCTCCACTCTACTGAGCTACCTCCCATCCCTTACTAGGATTCTTTAATTGATAGTTTTCATTAACTTGGGGGAAAAATAATCGTTAGTTAAAAAACTTTCATTTCCGGTTGGGCACAGAGGCACACACCTGTAATCCCAGCACCTCAGGAGGTGCCGGAGGCTGAGGCAGGAGGATCATGAATTCAAAGTCAACTTTAGCCACTTAGCAAGACCCCATCGCAAAATAAAAAAGGGAATGGAAGGCTGGGGTTGCAGCTCATTGGTAAAGCACCTCTGGGTTGAATTTCTAGTACAATTATTACAGCACAAGCCATAGATGCTCTATGGAGATATTTTAATTCCTGAGCCATTTTCCTCTAAGTTATCTTTTATTGACTCTCTTTCTACTGACTCTCTTTCTTCACAGTGTTACTTCTCTTGTTCAGGTCATCTGCTGTTTTTGCTTTTCAGACTCATGAGATTTTTCAAAATTCCCTTCATTTTTGAGATTCCTCATATTTACCCATTTGTTTCGTTTTTTGTTTATAAATTTCCAAGTGTATGTATAGTACTTTTAAAATAATTTTCTGATAGTTCTTATGTCTGGGTTTTCTGATTTTTTTATTTGTTGATTTTTGTATGGGTCCCCTTTTGCACAAATGTTGTAAATATTTTCTGGTGTGCCAAATATCATACACCAATGATGTGCCAATGAAATGCTATGCAGTTTAGGGTGGGCTTACAGCCCAATAAACCCATCATAAGTTGAAAACATCTCAAGTCAAGAATGCATTCAATACACCAAACCTACTGAACTTTACAGCTTACCGACACACTACACTGCAGAGTATGGACTGCTCACTCTTGTGGTCATGTGGCTGCCTGGGAACTGTAGCTCACAGCCTCTGGGCAGCATCTAGAGAAAGTACTCTACTGCATATCACTAAGCCTGGAAAAAGATCAAAATTCAAAATACAGCTCCTTCTGAATGCATATCATTTTCACACCTCTGTAAAGTTGAAAAATTATAAGTCAAACCATGGTAAGTCAGGGAACTTCTGTATGTAGATAATAGTGGAGGCTGAGTTATGCAACTCAGCCTTGTATTTTTTTTAACCAGACTTGTACAGTCTCTTTTCT